GCGTACGTCGCCGCACTAAATCGAACGATTGCCTTCAACCAATGACACGCACCATATGTGACATCATTCCTATTTTATAAGATCTCGCGTCTTTCATCAACTACAAGTACCGCTTTCTAGTTTATAACATCTTGCATCTTTTCATCATCAGCTACAAGTACCACCATCTAGTAAACACTACAAGAACTATCGCGTCTTTCATCAACTACAAGTACCGCTTTCTAGTTTATAACATCTTGCATCTTTTCATCATCAGCTACAAGTACCACCATCTAGTAAACACTACAAGAACTAAACGAGAGGTGGCTACATACAGGAGACGGTACCGCCATCTAGTGAACACTGCAAGAACTAAACTAGAGGTAACTACATACAGGGGACGGTACCGCCATCTAGTGAACACTGCAAGAACTAAACTAGAGGTGGCTACATACAGGCTACAGGGGACACACAGCCCACGCCCTAAGGAGCTTCGCCCCTAAAATTACTTCATATGATTTCCGTTGAGAGGCACTGCATGAGGGGGCTCCCTCCTCCATGACAGCAAAGCACACGCAAAGGCTGAGCAAGACGAGAGCGGGGAAGGGCTAAAGAAGAGGGTGGTGAACGGCTAAATCAGGCGCATCTGGCTGGCATTGGTAAAATAGAGGAGGGGTTGGTTTGACGACATACGCGACGGGATTGTGACATTATTCATGACTTGACCAGCATTTCACACCGATCAAACTATGTTACCCTAAATACTAATTTTGGTTCACACCAAGTCAAGAGGGTGACCACAAGAGCACCCAGACGTAAATGGCTAGCTAGCTAGCTATATCTGCACAATATTTTATAAAAATTGAAACAAAGCCCGTGCAAATGTTTTTTTTTCCCTCAAAGAAAGTGGGAACACCTTCGAATTGTAGCAAAATTTGGCTTTTGCGAGAATGCAAGTGATAACCTGTGAAATATGTGTCGTCTACAGTTTACTATACGGCAGGCATATAAGCCTGTATGTATAGTAAACTGTATGTATAGTAAACTTCAAAAATGATGAATCGATGTGAGGAGTGTATGTTCATTTAACCTTTAAATGGGGCTCTGCGATAGTCGGACCTGGGTAGGTGTTTTCACAGCTTAGCACCCCTCCACTGATATGAAACTACTTTTATGGTGGTTATATGCATGCTAATATACATATATTTGTTCATTTTGAATACTTCAAAATTTTCTGTAATTTAAATTAGAATCAAAGCAAATTTGGATAATGTAATATTCTGTCAATTATTCGCACAAGCCTATTATCGTTATAGTGAAGTAGCTTTGCGATAGGCCACAGCACTTTCATCTGATCAGCGCTATAAATGTACAAACTTATGCCAGCACAAATAAATTAGTAATCATATCAACCATATTAAATGAGTTCAAATCATTTGTAATGCCTCAAACAGACCACTGAATTGAATGTAAATACTCGACAGAAGTCTGTCTGGTTGGGCATGAAAAAACCCGACGTTTCAAAACCAACTTGGTTCCTTCCTCAGGGGTGACTGCGGAGCTAAGTAGCAGCAGAGTCTTCAAAGCACTCACGGGGTGGATAATGACCCCCCCCCTCTCTCTCATGTTTTGCCTTGGAGCCGTGGAGAGAGAGAGGGGTCATTAGAAAGAGGGGGGGTCATTATCTACCCCGGGAGTGCTTTGAAGACTTTGCTGCTATGTAGCTCCACAGTCACCCCTGAGGAAGGAACCGAGCTGCGGAGAGAGAGGGGGTCACTATCCACCCCGGGAGTGCTTTGAAGATGCCCCTGCTACGCAGCTCCACAGTCACCCCTGAGGAAGGAACCAAGTCGGTTTCTAAATGTCGGGTTTCTTCAAAACTTTTGATCGGAGTCTAAATCATCTCTCAGACTACTGAATTGGTCTCCTTTTAATGCTGACGGCTCATGGCCCCATGCTGGCATAATAAATGTGATGTAAAATGGAACACATGAGTGCAAAAGTGCAAAAGAGAAGAGAAAACGTGCTAAAAAAACAAGACAAACCCCCTAACTTCCCTCGTTCTAGGAATATTTGAGAAATTTTTGGAGCAGTCATATTATGGGGCAAAAAATCACCAGGGTCCCAAATGCATTGACTTAAGACGACTCAAATACGACAGCCATCTCCTCGTTCTTCTCAGTCGATGTAATGATGCTGCAGCCACGCTACCCTTCAAGTTATTTCTGCAAATAATGTGGTATTGCAGCCTGCTCCGAGATCGGAGGCAAGTCACCTCGTTTTCGCATTGCCTCAAGGATCAGATCACCCCTGACCGAACTACGATGCCATGCGTTGACGTCATCATGTGACGGTTACATCACATAACATCACTGTGATGCCATGCTGATCTCATAATGATGTCACAAATTTTAGCGATCTGCTGAAGTCATTCTGACGCAATATAGTGAAGTAATCCCTCAATAATTTTTTGCATCCCCTGTCTCAACGCCGTGCGACGCTGCCTGACGCCAACAGTGAAATTCCGCATTTCATGAGGCATCTAGAGTTTTCGCCTTAATGAACTTCAATACTGAGGGCAGGGCATTCTATCGTTACTTGTAAAAGCGGTTCACGACCTTCTTAAAGAACTCTCCAACATTTCTGAAACAACCAACTTTTATTCGTGGATTATATAGGCTGATTTATGACCAGAAATATTAGGACAGCTCAAAGTATCCAATGCCAATTGATTTATTATTTTAATCACGCAATGAAATCACATCATGCTCATTGCATCAACACACAGAGGCAAAACTATCACAGGTGAAAACAATGGGAAAATGTTCAGGCCTTTGATTGGCTAAATGTAAGATTAGAAGTGATTGAGACAATGCAACAAGAGAGAGATTAATATATTGGACTTTCTTTCTCGTACTTTTTCACTAAATGCCAAATATGACACTATTGCAAACAAAGACTAGTACAAAACACAATAAAGACACTGGTTGCAATTTAACTGCTGTGTCTTTGCTTGCACGGGTCAGATATCTATACAAAGGCCTTTCTCGCTTCTAGCTCTTGGTCTAGTACATACATGGACTGCGTTGTTTCACACATGCAGTAGGGAATCCCCCTTTAACGTTCAGGGAATCTTTGTTTGCTAGTGTTGCACCCTAGGAAAAAAACTTAAAAACTTCAATACACGGCAGCACTGCCTGCCTTTCAGCCTGCAGCCTTCGAGCATAAAAAATCTCGCACCAGAGGTTTGTCATTACGCAAGAGTTTTTCTTGTTGCCTGTGTATCCTCCTGAGCAGCCTCTTGTCGTGCACTCGTGAGTGTTACTGCACTCAAAAGGAGTCTTCCACTTCGACACTATTGCTATTGGTCTTACCCTTTTTCTCAAAATGTGGGGGGTGCAGCACCATGTTGTTTGTTATTATAGCAACACTGCGATCACTGCGCTGCACGGAACAAGTAGCAATGATGTGCGAGCACGGAGGAAGGAATGAGTGGAGAGGGCATGCCCAGCCGGCACACTCCTTGAAAAGTGTGGCAGAAGTGATGCCATGGAGGCCATATTCACTGGGCCCAATGGCGGCATTGCCATGGTTACGCGTTGTGTAGCGTAGCTGATCTAGCAGATGAGCGGCTGCGGCTGCCGGCAGCATGTGCGCCTCCGTAGGTCTCGTACCGAACCTGCGGCGGACAATATCCGTGCTCTGTGTCGCGTTGTTTGTTACGCAGTGTTCTCCCGATAGTTATTGTACGGCCTAGCAACATTTACAAAGCCTTTTGTCAGCACTGGGCCTCAACAGTACGTAGAAGGAGCGCATATCCATGTGCCGTGCAGTGGATGAAGTATTTGAAGTGTTCAGTGAAGTTGCATTCAGGCACCTAAGACAAAACGGAACCACGACGAACGCCTTGCAGGTCAGTGACGGTTGTGCAGTGTTCCTGCTTGTGACAACAGGCGAAACTTTTGTGCCCAGTAAGAGGCAATAAGGACCATGTGCATAGTGTCGTCTTCAGTATGTGTACAGTACCAACTTTTATGTGTGTATTAAAGCACCTTTTTTGTTTAGCTTGCTATGCTCGCCCCCAGCATTGTTCTCTCAGCATTAGAGCAACCGCATTCAAGTGTCACTTGCACCATGCTCAAATTAAGTCACCGCGGTTGCCCAATGCTTATGTCGGTGAGTTTTACGTGGAACATGGGCACGATGGCCAGGTGCCACGTCGGCCACGTGAAGGCGGCGCTGACCGTTTGAAGGCGGTGCACGGCCAATCGTGTTATCTGTACAGTGCGCGAGTTGATGACGTGAAAACACTAAAACCAAATTCGTCGTTGTCAGTGCATCTAGCGCAAGTTCTCTTGTGCTTGCTCCATTGTCAGCGAGCTGTTAAGACTCGGTCAAAACAATTTAGCCATTGGTGTCGTGCTCACCCAGCATGTTGAGAAATAACTTTAGTTCCGATGGTTTCAGTTCGCCTTGACGCGTGGGCGCTGCAGTGCATATGGTTTCCGCGCAGAAGAGAGAGGCACGCCTTCTGCTTCACATTTGGATGTAAACAAGAGAGGAGAATTTGCCCAGTCAATAAGGCCAACTTCCGGCTTCACCACGGCTTTACAACGAGAGACGTCAAGGCCTCTCCTGAGATTTTTCCTTTCTCCATGCGTGCGAGTTTCCCGTAAGCAGGACTTTTCGGCTCGTGCCATTGGTGGCACCTTGCACAGTCAGTGGCAAGTGAAATGCAGTCATGTGACCCCCCAAAAGAAAAATTCACTTGAGGGTAGACATTTATTTCCTGTACTTTGAATTTTCTAGGCTGAATAACTCTGGACCGTGCACCCCTGTCACTTTCATTCTTGCTGCATAAATCTCTCCATCCTTTGGTCTACCCAATTCTCGTGCGAAAAATGGGGGCTGGAATAGTGTTGAAAGGCGCATTTAAAATTTGTTTTATCTATGCTCGCAACATCACGGTATGAATACATAAACAGCCACAGCAAGAGTAACTGAAATGTGACAAAACTTACCAGCCGACTTGAGTGCAGTTTCAAAATCACTCGTCCACTCCGGAGTACGAAGGCAGAAGACGTCGAACAACAACTCGATGATGTTTTTCTGCGTAGACCAGGAAAGCAATTGGAGAGTCAAAATTGTGCCTGTTTCATGTATCTTTTAATCCAGCGTACTCGAGATGATGCTTCCTAATATATCCATTCACTGTCATTTTCAAATACCGGTTAAATCAAAGACAGGACCACAGGTAGGCAGGTTATTGTCACATACTACTTCACTGCTATGCATATTGTCATCGCCAAAAAATTGAAACTTAAGAGATGCATGGTGGGACGTACCCTTTTGTGCAAAGATACTTTAATAAGTTTATCTGCTATTGCTTACGTTAATTATTTCAAAGGCTATGGTGGCCGCAAATCAGAAAGCCCATGGGTGAATATTATAATCAACCAAGAAAATTCTTAAATTTTGAATAAAGGGATACAGACATTTTTTTCAAAAGTGGCACTTTTAAATATATTACATTAAGGAACCGTGTCATTTATGCATGGATATACTAATGTTCTGAAGCAATTCTGCAGTTATTGGTAGACTGATGTTGCCTATGATGCATGACACAAGCTTTCCACAATAATCAGCACTGAGGTTTGATCTGTTGTTGAGTTTTCTGCCCCCTAAACGTACCATCACTTGCAAAAGTGCCATTTCCAGAACAATATTTTGATTGACAATAAGCATAATGCCCCGCTAACACTATGATAGTTATATAGTGAGACGATCTCAATGAATTACTAGCAGCTTCAATGTTGACAGAAATCCAATCAGCACAACAAATTCTTACCCTTGTGTCAGGAAGGGGAAGACAAAGAACTTCTACAAGAGACTGCAGACCAGATGGCGGAGGTTTGCAGAAATGGACCATCCCTTTAAAAGTGAAGCAACAACAGCACACACACATTTCAACTATACCTGCAGCACTGGCAATGAGGTGTTTCAAATTATTGCGTGAGATGCTCCGGAATAAGTATGCACAACCAATCTGGTCATCATCAAGACAAAGTCATACTATGAAGGCTTACCTGGCCAGGACCTGAGTACTGAAGTCATGGCTATCCTACTTGACTGAAACCTGAGAACCCTGTCATACCTGCAGCCAGAAAGGCGCAATGTAAAAGCAAAGTGAGTCGAGCTATGCCATGGAGGACATTGCAAGGACCTAATACGATGCACTTAATTTGCATTTCATTTGTGAACGACTAGTAAAACCAGCAGACAATGAAGCAAAGGGAAGCATAGGAGACATTATCTGTTGTTTCTTTAAATGTAGCTAAATCATTACATTACACTTAGAAAAACAACATGTATATTCTTTATTCTTTCCTTTACTTACCGTATATACTTGAGTAAGGAACGCACTTCTTTTCCCGAAAAATCAAAGGCAAAGATGGGGCTGCATATATTATGCGGGCCAAATTTTATTAAAGCTTTATCAGGATGAGCAAAAAATGTGGTAATATAAAAAAGTTGGTAGCTTAACCTTTTGCATCTGACATACGCGTACACTGTTTGGAAGCAGCGTCTAAATTTGTTACACTCCCCTTATCATCAGTGGTTGATGGCGCTATCTTCTGCAAGCTGTCCCTGCACGGCCCGCACACTCCATAAAAATGTTTCCTGGCTTTCTTGTCTCACAATCGTTTAACTGCAACAGTGGTATCTGCTGTGACCTCGAGCGGCGCCCAAAAGCGTGTGCTACTGATGCACTTTGCCAACTCCACGGCAACCTTGCACGAAGACCGCAACGAGAGCGTCAGACCACATTAGTGACATTGCAGCAAGTAATCATCATTGCTGCAAGCTACCACTAAGCATCGAAACAAGCCGTTGATAAGGTCGATCACAACAAGATTAACGACATAATATGGTTGTCGCCTCGCTCTCCACGAGAGAATTCTGTAGAAAGGTACGAACGGTTAACAAGCATGAAGCGCCGATTGCAACCAAAGAGAGAATTAGGCGTGCTACCATGTTGCAGAAATCATCACGCTTTTTTCTGCGGGACCAGCGACATGCCTGCAACGCGATGGCAACGGATGGGCCTTCGCGACAGCCATGGCGATAGCAAATCCTGTCGTCGTCACTCAAAAATCGCATGCATGTTGTTGGGCCTTAAAGGGGTGGCGACATTGAATTTCGAGGCTATCCCAAGCCTGTTGTGTGTTTCCTCTGTGTGCAAGGACTCTCCACATGAAGAGTCGGATACAACAAATGCGTAAAATATATTTTAATTCACTTATAAAAGGGTAGCTGAATGCTCACCCTCTTGATCTAGGCAAATCGCTAGCGCAGCAACACTGACGTTTAAGAATAGGAGAAGCAACGACAGTTGTCATGACGTCACACCAAATTTGTAGTGACGTGAGTGACCTCCGCTATTTCTGAAACGCATTTTGTTAACAAGGAGAGAACTAGCATGCCTGCTGTTACGAGCATGCTGGCGTCCCTTGCAAAGACACTGTGTGCATCCGTCAAGGACTCTCAATGCTTTTGAAAAGTCACTCGACGCGTTGTTTAGAGACGCTGTGTGCGTCCAACAGTGGAGCTGTTTCATCCTCCATCATCATCTCGGCGCCTATAAAAGGCCGGCACATCGAGCGTCAGGCAGATTCCTCGTCCACGTTCTGTACATACGTTGTAAATATAAACGCTTTGTTTTCTTCTTGCTGCCTTCTGTCTTGCGACTGCCTCAATGCTACTGCAGCTGGCAATGGCGACTGTCAGCGCATTTGTTTTGCTGGCACTTGGTGTGGCACGTGTGAATGAGAGCAGACGAAACACAACACAATGTGTGTCACAGCCTTGTGTGCTCACGTGACCAAGACACCCATGCATTGACGTCACTGCCCAATTTGGCACCGCGAAACATAAACCGAAAATGGTTCACATAACTAGAACAATATTAAATTATTTAGTGAAAATACACGAATCTTGGTGTGTGTGTCATGCTTCCTGTGCTGTAGGAAACGCTTACAGCAAAGAACACGCATACCACAAATTTGGTGGCACCACCCCTATGAGGCGAAACCCCATAAGTGCGAAAATGCACGTGACAGCGACGAGTGACGCTATGAGCGATGAAACAGGTTGGTATGAGTAGATGGCCTCATGCCAGCAACAGTGAAAATTTGCTCGCTGAAGCAGTCGCATGAACGAGGTTTGCCTCTACAAGCGACTGTTCGCACCAAGGCGATCTACGTCGCATCGCTCATTGCTGCCGTGTGCATTTTCCCGGTTATGGTGTTTCGCCTTAAAATTTCGTATTTGCAGGAAGTGACCGTTTGTTAATTGGCGCAGGCAGTTTCATGACCTTCGATCGCTGTGTGCTTGTACGCTGTGATGTCTACACTCGCATCGTTAGTGAATCGTGGTGTGGCACACGGATAATTGAAAAGGCAAGGGACGTGCCGCACAAATATCAAAAGAAAAACAAAACGGTATGCAGCAGCTGGCGAAGGAAGCAAGCCAAGGAGGGTGAGCATAAAAAAAAACAGAAAAGGTCAAACAGGCAAGCACCACCAGGTGTCGGTTTACCAGGCTTTAGTTTGCGGGACTGCAGAGGATGAATGTAGGGGGTGGGTTTATCACGGGGGGGAGGAAAAAAATCTGACTACTGAAGGGTCTTTTATTATGCAAGTGCAATCATTACACAAGTAAATATGTTATCTGTCTGTTGGTTTCATTAGTTATGTCTAAAAAAAGATTAACCCCTTAGACAATTCCCCTTTATTTTTGTATCTGCGCGCAATGAAATACAAGGCAAAAAAAGCATTGAATTTCACTGATTGGCCACACCAAGGACATGTAAGTAGCGATGCGCGATGGCAGTAACCGTGGCTACCCTCTTGTTTGAAAGTGTACACCAGTTGGCCAACTAAGCAATTTATAGAGCAATTATGCACCATTTTACAAAAATTTAAAGTAATAATCATTTCATGCTGTCATTCCTATCTAATCATCAACAATGCAGAGAAGGTTATTAATCATGCATGACTTATGCTGACTTAGAGTGGTCAACAGAGTACAAGGTTTCGGAATAGCCAACAGAAAAAAACTCACCCCAAGTTGTTTTCTGGCGTGTCTGGTGCATACTTGAAGTGGCTGTCCGTGAATGGGGCCACCAAGTACTGCAATCAGAGAAAAAAAACGAAACAATAGGAAAAATAGTTTCACAAGTGAACTGCACACATTCAGATTTTTGTTGGTTTCTGACCTCTGTCAACCTGCAGACAGCAGCTTTTAGCCCTGAAATCCATTTCGAATGTATTTGGTAAAATAAAGAATTTGAATTCCACACACTCGCTGAGCACATGCAAATGATACGTCAGAGTGCAAACACCATACAGCTGCAACTGAACGGCATATGCTAATGGGCATTGCTGGATATTATGGTTCAGTGTAAGTTGCAAAAGCATTCTACCGTGAGACCTGGTAAGAATGATTTTTTTTAAAGAAGAGATAAAAGAGTAACCCAATCCATAACAAAGTGTCATCCTGCACTGTGATCTAAAAATGTTTGAATAGCTTTAGCCAAAGCTATTGTGCGTCACAAATTGGCTGTGTAGGTGTGACCGCAAAAAGAAACATGGCGTCGAGTGCACAGTACAGATATTATGAGGCTATACACAATCAGAGTCCTTGAAAGTGTGCCGCTCAAACGCGTATTTCTATGAGCCATTTTCCAAAAAATGATGCTCTCTTGATCTTGGGCTTTTTGGTGATCAGTTGTTTATGATAAGGCAATGTGATCTTTTATCGTGGTTTTATCAAAATAACTTCGCTTTTCGTAACGTCATATTTCTTTTTTGTTTGCATACGAGCACATGATCGTTCTTGCTACAAGCAGCAAGTCAAGTGTCGTGCTGCCAAACACATACCATATTTACTCATGTAATCTTCACACTCGCATAGTTATCGCACCTCGCACATCACCCAACAAAAAGAAGATTTTTTTTTTCCTCCAGTAATTATCGCACTCCCAAAAACGGCTGCAATAATGTCGCCTGCTCGTTCCCGCCACTGATAATAGCGCGCACCATCTCTTAAGCATTAAGCATACTATTACTTGCATGAAGATTAGATTCAATTCAAGCCGAAGCCAAGCCAAAGTGGTAAGTGTGCGTTGCAGCATGTTTTGTATGTTGTGCCGGTAATCTTGTCACGTTATGGGGCGATACTGAAGCTACACCGCTGCTTTCAAGTTGAGAGTGATTGATTATGCACTAAACAACGGCAACATGGCTGCCGGTAGGCCCTTCGGAATCGACAAGTTTTGTGTTCGCTATTGGTGATGGCAGGTGAAAGCCACCAAGACGCGTTGGGCCTGCCATGTGCCTAAAACTGGGATTGATGGTAAACTTTATTTCTTCAGAAGGAAATTGCAGACGATTCTGTTTAGCCATCAGCCCAATACTGACGTCCTATGCCTACCTTTTGAGGGCTCCTATTGAGCGACAAACGCTACCGCTAGGCCCGCAAAGCCCATAAGCTTTGCGTATGGTAATTCCATTCTCGACTATTTGCTTGCACTTTTTGTGTCTCAAATAAATGTTGCCTTGTGTTGAACCTGTGCTTTTATTGTAAGTTTTAATTGGTACTTCTTAAAGCTTGCTGTTAGTTGCTAGTGTAAGAATCCCGATTTGCGGCCACTTCGTTTTCTTAACACCCCCCACACCCATGCATAAAAAAAAAAACTCTAAATTGGCTGCCAATGTCAATTACAGAGACAAGTAATCAGAAAATGTTAAAGAAAAACACATGCGACCGCTGCCAAACTCACTTCAAGGTCGATGTCTCGACTGAGCAGTTCACGCGTGGCTGGGTCGTTGATTGAGTGGAAAATGATGCCCAGCATCGCCTCTGCCAGGGGTGGGTGATGACAGTCGAGCACACTTTGAAGCAGCGTGCGAAAGCCCCCAGTGTCCACGCATAGCTTAGGGTTCAGCAACGCTGTGCAGAAAGCAGAATGTTCACCACTCCAAAGCAGCAATAGTGGCAAACCGCTAATCAGAACTAGAGAGATTTTACTGCTTTCAGATGCAAAAAGCAAAACTTTTACAGTCAGCAGAGCTACGATACAGAACCTGCAGTAAAGGCTGCATCAGTGCAGTTTGAGTGAAGAGTGCAAGGACAAAGCAGCAGCACTTGCTAATCACTTGCCATGTTAGTCACATGTAGACTCACGGTACGTTGGTCTTAAACAGCTTCATTTAATACTCAGTAGCAACAACTCTTCTGAACTTTAATGAGGTAATGAGCCATCCCGGAGGCTTGGTGAGAAAATGCACCCTGCAGACAAAGACCCTGCTCTGAGCCCTTTAGCCAAATGTTGCAATTGTTTGTGGCAAAGAGAGTTTAGAAATGGAGCACAAAGTTGCCTTTTTTCAGACACTTTCTTTTTATACAGAGGCTGGTGCTCGCTTGGAGCTTTCGGCACCTGCTATTTGACATCAACACCACAGATAACATGCAACTGGGCTAAGACCATTATAAACCAAGAGCGGCATTTGGATCAGATGCCCGAACCTCGCTTTATGGTCTGTTATTCAAACCCCATTTTTTACTCGCAGGTTGCATAGAATGAAGTAAAAACAGATGAATGCAGCAAGAACTGCAGCGATAACAGCCCGCAGTCCAAGTTATTCGATTTATAAACTCCAAAATGCAAGAAAAAAACCTACCCCCAACTTGATATTCACGGCGTCACATGATCTGACTCACCCTGACTAGTAGCCCTGTGACATAGGAAAGCTCTCCCAATGAAATGAGCTGGAAACTCCTAGGAAGGGGAAGCTTGCACGCCATTGTTGCTTGTCCTTGCAATAAACTTTGCAACTGAGGTCACTGAATGATTATTTAAAAAAGTGGTTCCCAACCCCTTTGAGTACAACACGCAGGCTCAGGCTAATGTGCTACATCACCACAGATCTCACCGCTAAAGGCAATTTTGGATGTGGTGTACCATAAAAAGTCATACATAGTCTAAGGTTTGTTTCTAGATTTGATGATGCAAAAGTTCTGCCCCATACTACATGCCAATCTTAAGACACTTTACCTAGTATGCACAGCTACAGTTTCACCATTATGCGGTGCTTTCACCATCACCAGGCTTCCTTGTTAGGTAGAGTCTCTACATGCAACCACTTGGCTCGCATCACGACAGCTACAACTTTACACTATGTGAGGACAATGTAAGCAGTACTAACCCGGCTTTAAAAGAAAGGTGATCTCAGCAGCTGAAACTATTGACAATTGTTTTATAATGTGGTAGTTTGGCGTAAACAAGATAAGCGTTTGCAGTTGGGGAAAACTGAAGGAAGCTTTTGGTGTACTGCGGCCTGAGAATTTTCCAGGGGCCGAAAAATGGAGCACTTCCTGATGTTGAGCGGGAGTTGATAAACTTTGTTCGAGGAGGGGGGTAAGGGAGGAATAATGGAGAATTTCTAGGGCTCCGGTCGATACTCATGCTCAACACATTTGGGTCGGTCTCACCTCCGTGAAAAGACCACAGCGAGACTTCAGCGCAAAGCTCGTCACCATCCCTTCTGTATCCCAGCTGCAGTTGCTTAATGTGCACCCAAATAAACCTTTTAAGGCTGAAAGTGACCCCTGTCAGACTGAAACGGGGCTCGCCTACTATGCTGTGCACACGAATTGCTGAAACATGGGCCTGCATTCCCAAGCGCCTTCGTCGTGCCTTCAAGAAGTGCTCAATTTCAAACCCCCCTTGATGCCACTGCAGGTGAAGTGCTGCAGGAGAAGATCGCTGGTGAGGGAGTTTCAAAGGAAAGTGTGTGAGACTATGAGAAACAGGTGTATAAATACAGCGTACTTAGCGTCTGCTTTCCTAGGGCTTGTATTAAGGCGAAAATTTTTCTCACATTTGCTATCTCTGAAATACACTTCGGACTACATCAAGTCTGTGCTACACACAGGTTTTGATGGTAAGTGTATGAGCCAGTATTACACTGATATAAAACTAGCTATGTGTGTTGGAAACAGAAGTGCTTCCATTATTAATGCCAAGTTTTGGCATTCCATTCTATGAACATCAGTTACTTGTGAAGTCATGCTCAACATACGTAAAACCACTGCAGCAACAATGATGGCGTACCTAGCTCACAAATAGTAGCCAGACAGGCCCGAACAAGGTCGTCAGTCTCCTTGGCGCCATCTGCTGCAACAGCAACAAGGCTGCGAGCAAGCTGAGCTGGCAGCTCAAAAGGCGCCACAGCTACTAGACGTCGCACCAGCCTCAAGGCTTGAAGCCGCTCCGTGCGGCTCTCCAGGGCTGCATCCAGGGCACGTGCCACAAGTCGTGGAATGTGCGACGCTACAAGTGCCCGAGCAGCATCGATGTCTCTGACGAGATGGCGCAGGGCACGAAGACATCCTGCTCTCACTTCACTCGCTTCATGCACAAGCAGCACCCGCAGACTGCAGAAACAAGACTTTGATTGACTAAAGGTGTCCCGACAGCCCAAAACAAAACAATAACTACAGGATGCAGCACAAAAGAACATGTCTTGAAGTAAGTCAAATATCATCTTTCAACGAAACAGTTTGAATATAGTATGCTTGCTTTATTCACACCTGTGTCAACTTCAATATGCATGAAGATGTGCAGTGGTGCTCAATATGAAGCAAGGTGTTGGCGCAGACTAGCTGGTATTCCACAATGTTAAAGCTTCAGCCCAAAAAGGTTTACAGAAAAGAAATGATAATGACAAGCAATAACTTCCAACTACACTTGTAGCTGGAAGTTGTAGTTGGAAGGAACACACAAATTTGAGTAGCAACAGGGTGACCATGTTGAAGGAGCCCCAAGCCTACACTGAAACACCAGCACTTGTGAAATTGGTTTTTCAAAAAGCCAGCAGTCAAAACAATGTTTATTTCACTGAATTTTCATGTCGGCAGTACCGTGCTGTGTTGGTGTAGCTTTGACCATGGGCAGCATATTGCTACTCATATTGGGCACGACTGTACCTCCTTGTGCATACAACTAAAAATTTTCGTAATTCAGAGGTGGAAGTGGACTTCAGTGTTTTGGAGCAGCTCAGGGAGCAGTAATAATGATGTTTTGAAGCAGGTTCGGAGCACCAAAAGGTGCGTTTTGAAGCAACAAGAGTTAGTTTTGGAGCAGCTTTTTAGGATCAAACTTCATTGTGAGTCAAAATTATTTCTTATAAAAAAAAATTTCAAAGGCTTTCAAAAACTAAACATTACAATGCCAATGAGCTTAGCATACCTACCACCTGCGTGTGTGTGCTTGACACAAAACATGGTCATTTAATACTCAGCCTGAAATGAAAAGAAAAATATATTCTGGGTGGTAAAAACATGAAACTACCTTTTCAAGCAAACTCATTACTACAAGGAGTATCGTTAGTCTTTGCAGCTTTGCACCTGATGTGTGAAACGAAGGTGCACACGATTGCGGCGCACTTCGATTTTCATAAGTTTGTTGTCACGATGCTAATTAAACACACTACTCTGCTCATCTGTACTTGGTATGGAGTGAAGTAGGGACAAGCAATTCACACAGCAAGTCAGCTCCCTCGGTACGGTGAGCCACCAGCAGGAATGGCATGGCCAGCATGGGTGTCGCGCTGCATGCAGCTAACCAGGAGATGAACAGAATCCTTGCGGCCAGTTTGTGTTTCAATGAAACTGTCCGTTGTCGCTTAGCATCAGATGGTGGTAGAAAAGCACACATATATATAGATGTCAGACCCTGGAGCTGTGCAGACACGTAGCGCTACCTATCGATGCAGTTTTGAGTAGTGCAAAGCCCGACTCCCTTGCACGGTGACTATGCAACAAGGTGCAACTAGCAAGTGCGAAACAACGATTGAGCTAAATATTAGATGTATTTGCCCTTTGAAAACTCATAAAAAAAGCTACGAATTTCTCTTCGCTAGTTGGATGCGAAGCCGAACCGCCATAAGTGCTGGCTGGTTTACTCACCAGGACGACGGCGAAAGTAAGAGCAGACGCGACATCTCCACTGTCTATGAAGAAAGACTGCAGTCGACGCCACTGTTGCGTTCTGAATTGCCACTTACATAAAGGACTTCGGTTTTACCGATTTATGTAGCTGTCACAAAGCAGAACGGCAAGAGCGCTGGATACCGGCTTTTGCGAACAAGTTGGGTAAGCGAATCACTTGCGTTCTCCACAGCCAATCACATTAGAGAGTGTGATAATGTAGGTCTCCTGTTATTGTTTTAAGTAGCCTTGACGGAGAACCATAGTAACCTTGATTATGAAGCTAAACAGAGCCTCTGACCGCAATTCACGCTGCATCAAGTGCAGACTGGCGACGCCCGCGATAAACATCGCACACGCCACGACCACCAATAATTTGAAGTGGTCATCAACACACAGCTTCGCACACGCAGGCTTTAAAAGCCCCGAGTTCCAGCTCTAACTGGCAAATTGTAGCATGTATACATTATGCACGTAAATGGCAAAATGTTGGTCGTGACCACAATCAGGTTTTTCTTGCCGTTGATCTTTGAGATTGTGGGAGCTATCTCAGAGGCCTCGGTTTTGCCTGTCGTTGTACACGGATAAAAAGCAGATGCATGTATACTAATTTGCAGATATACAAAATACGGCAGTCAACAGAACAATGTAGGATGCTTAATAAAACAGTTCTATGCACAGGAAGCGAGAGAAGGATTGAGAATACAACTGCAAAGGTGGAAATCGCCAGGGCCATTCGTGCCTTATAAAGCAAGCTTTGTACCACTGATCGCAAGATATATTGCTCGCCTATGCAATTCAAAACTTTTTTGCCATCATGTGCAAACCTAAATTTAATGCATTTAAACTATACAGAACACACGTCAGGGCTCTTGCCTCGAACTCGATGTCATGCGATGCTGGCTTGCTCTTAAATAGCGAGTTGCCTACCGAAATAACTAGAACATTTTTTGCATTGTACTCGATGTTTGCTCTGATTAGCTTCTTACTTTTCTGAAGTGAGGTTGGATTGACGGAAGAAGCTTGCAAGGAAACATTTTCAGGAAACAGTGCCTCAACATTAACGAAAGAGTAGGGCCTATGCACGTTCACTAGCAAACGGCTCTCTTTGCACTACCCAGTTATAGCCAGCACGGCGATGAGCGCACTGGTAGCGGCATTTTTCACAGCGTCGCCTGAACGGAGTCTGACATCCATTGCGGAAAGGCGATAGTGTCTGTTCTGTCACTATTTCAGTCGCTGCGTATCCCAGACCTTATGAGCGTTTACAAATGCTACATGACGTCGTCACTGCACCCTATGAAGCGATCATACGAGAGTACCAGCCTAGTAACTTTTTCCGCACTCTGGCAAAGAGAAAGAAAATAATTTCTGGTGGGTACTTTAAGCAACATCAGCTATGGTCCTGTATTTATTTATTGGGGGCGATGGCACAAGTCGGCAGATGCACATTGGTACTTGTAAATGCGCACTGCCATTTAGTGCATGATCATGCCGCGTTCCCAGTTGGTACAAATTATTGAGGTTACTAAATGCAGTTACAGTACACTTTCAGTAAACAGAACCTGAATAGTGTTCCATATAACAGAAGCTCCGTTTACCGAGAGGTGAACAATAGTGCAGAATACAAGCCAGAAACTGAGCATTGCAGAGGCTATAGTTCCATTTAAGCAGTAGTTCCATTTATCAAGTTTCTGTTTACTGAGAGTCTCCAGTACTTATGTTTGTGTAACCACTTTTGTGGGGAAATCATGGCAATAACATTGATTAGACAAGCACTAGCAAACCTTATGAATGAATCGAACTACACTCTATATGAATGCGGTTACACCTTTTGTGTAGCCAAAGCTTAGTGTTGCTTAATATTAATCGATTTGGCAGTTCACACTAACAATCAACAATGATCATGGATACTGTCGTTTAGGCTCAGCCTGGCGCAGGAGGTCGAATTTTGTGGGTTAGGAAGGAGGCAGTGTTTGACCTTCCCCTAATGAGGGCAGAGGTGAAAACGGAATTTTCATTGGACTGCCCTGGCCTACATTGTTTTTCCCTGCAGGGAATCCTGGGAAGACCAGGGCATACAATGCAAGCGTCGAGACGCTCCAGACAAGCTCCCAGAAGCTCCCATCGAGAGCTTCCGTAATGCTACCCCTATCATGTGTCAACAAGCTACCTGTAATTAATGAAAATAGAAGCTACTGTTAACAGCCCTGGCCTCCTCTTCTCGACCTCTCCTCAAGACATTGGCTGGCTTTGGTCCTATGGGCAAACACCCGACTACATCAACTGGTGGCAGTGGTGGGATGCCATCGAACACCGGTTACATCACAACAACAAGTAAATCAATGCCCTAACTGTAATGTAGAATCATTTCCCATTAACCCGATTGTGGTACAGATGTTTATTCATAAATGGCATACAAATGCACACACAAGCACTGGCTTGAAACAATGCGTTTGCTACGGCACCAAATTGCTGACATAATGAAGTAACGATAAGCAATCTCAATAAAGCCATTTGCACTGTTGCACAAAAAGTAATGAAGCAATGTGTTAACACAGATAGCATGTCAGAGATAACGAGCACCGGTACAATGGGTCTTATCCAAGGAACAGCGGCGTATCAAGAGTGCAGCCTTCACTTGCAAAATCTAAAGCAGATCACTAACTTGTTGCTACTGTTGGACATCATCTGGGATCACTTGCATATCCGGAGAGTAGGAAGGGGCTGGAGGGTCAACCCCTTTTCCCCAGAAAAATCTTCAATTTTACATTTGTATGTATACACATACACATAAAATACACATTCTAATGTATATTATGGTTAACTTCACTCTTTCAGCCCACCGCCTCCCCAAACTCCTTAAAATGTGGCTATGCCACTGCCTTGGATGTTTACAGTTTTGTCCAAAATCAGGATGTTACCCAAGTCGTAAGTGAAGAGAAAAAAATACAAAAGATGGCTCGTAGCTTTAAGAGTGATCAATATTAGAATCCACATGCCACAACCACTTCGGTTCACTAAGACTCGCAGGATTGATATATCATTTCTGTTTTTACAGACATTCATGTGCAACTTTAATGTTACTTCACCCAACACATTGATCATGTCACGGTGGAAAATACTTTCTGTCGGTTTGAAATGATTTCATTCTTACAGTCATTGCACAGCCCCCCCCCCCCCGCCCCCTCCATGCCCAACTGTTAGATGTCAACTTATTCGCGTGATAGCGAAACTAGATATGATGCGACTTGATGTAAACTCACCAGCAGAATATATCCTCAAGGGTCAACCCAAGTTCCGTTTCGGGGGTGATCTTGGGACTCAGCTTCACGAGGCAGTTAAGGTAGGCTAGTTTCCTCTGCTTGCTGCCGTCTTGGCGCACCAAATAGATCAGGATCTCCCTCAGGTTGTCCGCCACGCCTGTGGAATTTGCGCGATATCAAGAACATAAAGAAATCGGATAATGATGACTACATGTGAACACCGTGGTAAGTGTCGCGAAGATAACTTGCGACTGATGAGAGACTTTGAATTCACTCCTAGCGCCACAAGTTTTTGCCAACACCGAGTTTCGAAACGAGAGAACTTCCGCGAGCACAGAGACGAGGATACGTTTGTTGCTAAACCAAAATCAATGGCATCGTACTGCTGGAATTCGCAATGACACGCCAGTTTTCTCAGTAATCTAATTAGAGCAAGCGCTAACAAGTGACAGAATGCCTAGATAACGCAGGATCAACTCGGGGTGACATCACGGTACTGCGAGACGCTCGAAGATAAACAAACGCTTGAAGCGCAACAAGTTTCGTTTACAGTTCGCAAACGGTTGACCTACTGCTGCGGGTCAGTTGTGAAGTCGTAAAACGCTGCTGCCCGAGCAATCGTCGGGCAAACACGCCAAGCTCGGCACGAAGAAAAACAAAATCATAAAATGTTTTGCACAACTTATTTCATAAACTGATAAGCCTAACCTTTAGTTAAATCAAGGTGAACCGTCTCTTCTTCGCTGTCATGGCGTCCTGAAATTGAAATATGGACATGTTATCCTTCGTGAAAGGTTGTAGACGGAAAAGAGCATCAAGAAAAACTTCTACAAGCTTACTTCTTAGAGAACGGCCACCTCTAGAGCTTCGCTGGCGGAACATGACATGCGCCATGTTCTTTGGGAGGCGTTCCGGTTCGTCACCGGCGACGCCAAATGCGGCAAGCCAGGTAACTTGTAGATAAGAGAAATTATTCTCCATGAACTCGTGAGCGAAAAAATTCGCCTGTCCCCTGCGTAATTAGCGCCTTAAATTTGAGTCGAATACCGGCAGGAGACAACGTTCACCGCTACGCTTTCCTGGTGTCTTGTAATGTGCATACTTTTCTTGTTTTGTTTTTACATGATCATCATCGGTGCTATAGCGCGCGCACGTGCGGGCCATTCGCTTCGTCCTTTCACTTCATTGTCGGGCACCGTGACAGAACGGCGTGTTGCTTCCGTATACTTTGTGTTAACGCGACTACCAGCACATAACTCGAGTAAGAGAAGAGTTTTTCTTCGTAAGTTTTCACTGCTGACGTCTGCCGTCATGAGTGGAACTGGTGAATCGTGCAAGCGCTTCGCAACTTCCATCAGACGTTTTGATGTTTTAGATTCCGCAGATCGCACGTCAACGCGATCACTTGAAACGAGGCGACAGCGTAGGGAACTTTGGACGGAACGCGGCTGCTTCGGCCAAGACCACCGCTCGCTGCTCGGCAACAAGGTCTCTTCGGACAGGCAGCTGCGTGAGTATTCTTCTAAGCTAGGCATAATCTTTTTTTCACGTTTTAGGGACCAGCATCTAGGCCTCTTTTGTCTGTGCCAAGCAAACACCTTTCTTCATTCCCTGTCTGAGGTTCGCGCAGATAACAAAAAACATGAAACTACAACTACAACATGAGATTGTAACAACTATAGAACGCCGCACATGTGAGCGAGACGCAATTCAATCAACTAGCGTCCCGCGCGCTTTTGAGCTACTGGGTGCTCGTACGCGTTTGGATACCTAGACTGTGGCCACCTGAGTGCGTAAATGTTTGATTATGCGAGCCGTTCACCCATACGGATAGTCGCACTATTTAATGAGTAATGAAGTCGATGTCATTGCCCAGGCTAAGTGACAAGCTCGGCAACTTTTCATTTTTTAGGAAAGCGTCAAACGGTAAAGTTGCAGGGTGCTTCGGGATACGCCTACTCGGCACTTCGACTCAAAGCCTTTACGCTCAAAAAACATTTCTCTGCGTGGTAAAAACAAAAAAAAAAGCCCGCGAAGCATGAACAAAAGCGCACACCACCTGACTGATCGCTAGCGCAGGGTGATTGTAGTCATCACGAGTAGTGACGTAAATCTTGGGGAGAGAAGGGGAATAAAAGGGGCAGAGAAGTCCGGACACCCCCCCCCCCCTTGTGGTCGGCCGAGGGGGGGGGGGGGGCACACATTCTAATTGCCTCCCTGGAGGTTTAGCGTTTGAAGATCATATTTTAATGGCTTGACAGTTACGTATTATGCACCCGCCGGAAAACCTGCACGAGAATATGAAGCCTTTACAAAGAGCAGGAAGGTAGTTTGAGCAAGAGCTTTCTGAAATGCTGTGGGTTACTTCTCACATGCTGCAAATGTTCATTATACTGTGCCTTAAGATGCAATGTAAATAAAGAATGCCATTCACCTACTGTTATTCAGGTCGATGATTTGTTCGAAGCCGTTGACAATGAAATATGAATCCGGTGGCTCTACCATTATTGTGTTATTTACAAAACAATCATCGCCAAATATAAATATTCTTTTCACAAAAAATTCGAGAGGTAAAATGTGGGAACCGGGAAGTTATGTCAAATAGGTATACAGGATGAAGACTGAGCTGAAGTTAAAGCTGTGTCTCAAATGGCATATTAGCTATGAGTATGTTATAAATTGGCTGCCCAATGCTGTTATGTTTTCGTGCCTGACACAGGCACATACTGGTTCGCTTTTTTATTTGAGAGAAATTTTTACATGAAATGCAAAACCTATATTTACAAAGATTCAAATAGCCGCCATTGCAGTATGTGCCCCCGCCCCCCTTGTTGCTCTTCTGGACTTGCACTGCGAGCATTGGCTGAACAGTGTGTATAGGATTTCTATTACATCTGTTGTATGGATTACTTACACTACACAAATTCACACACGTAGAGTGATGCAGAACAGTCTCGAAATTGAATCTCGCTCTCAACGTGCTGTGAGCGCCTATCGGCACAAGTCGGTGACAGGGAATGAGTACCTACCAACTATTAGTAGTTTGAGTACACACTCAAAACTTAGTAGTTTTGAGTGTGTACTTTATCTTATGAAAAGCTGTCTCTGGAGAAGTTCACAAGCTAAAAGCTGCCATGACCTAGTTGAGGATCTCTGTAAAGGACTGGTAAAAAACTGTCACGAAAATGGAATAATAATGTACGTGTTATATAAAAAATAAATTACAAATGTTAAGTGATGTCACGTATCTTCATGCTGCAGTAGGAATTCTAGCAACAGTAAAGATCTGTTTAATTTATATGCACAATCCTGAACCACTTTATAGTGGGGCACGAGTAGTTCAGAATTCATGCAGCTTGAGTTCAGTGATGCTTGCAGAACACAACTGTAGAAACTGATTCCATGGTGTTTACAGGGTATTTTGTGCTGGCCGCCTAATATGCACCAAGAGCCTGCGAAATTGGAGGTTTGTGTGAGCATTAAACACGTCCCACTATCGGCCAATAACATAAACAGGCGGCACCTCCTGCTTACCAATTTCTCATCGCAATCTTACATCTTCCCCTTCCTGCTTTTATTTTTGATGTTGGTAGATACGACAGACACATTAAGTGGGGTTTCAGTGGCAGTTACATTTTTCTGCTGCATCATCTGCACCACAACAGCTTGTTGCCACCCTAAGCTGGCAAAGTATGGGAAATTGTGGAGTGGCCCTGCAACTTTTAAAATGGTGTGTCACTGAATCACTGCTGCTGCACTGAAACAAATAGCTGCACTGTCAGGTGCAAGCGAATCCAGAGGCATCTGATATGGGAAGAAAAGGGGGATGGTGTCTAAATAACCATATAGCTACAATCAGTGCCTGTGTTTTGTACTAGGCACGTAATATAATTTTGGTCGAAACATTCCTGAAATGAACTTTTGATCTCAACAGTTTAACAGGTATTTTGTGTGCCTCAATTTCATTGCATAGTTAGTCTGGCTTGACTTTCCCACTCGTCCTTCTATATATATAAAAAGTTTTATTACAGCCACATCTTGAGGTAAATGTAATAAATGAGCTTGCTGCCATGTTCTGACAGAATTGTGGAAACGAAATCAATCTACCTTTATTTTTTTCAGGCAGTAGCAAGCTGGCAGCAAGATGAATCCAGATGTCGAAGAACGGAATGTCATCAAATTCGACCCACCCGTTTCGGTTCAGCGATACATGGAGGTTTGCAGGATCCTATCGCAGGATACCACAGTCGAAAAGGTTGTTGATTTTGGCTGTTCAACGGGCCAGTTCTTCAGGCATCTCAAGGAGATCAAGCATGTTAGGAAATTTGCTGGCGTGGACATCAGCTACGGCGTCTTGGAGGACGCTTACCGGATAGCACGACCTCTAGCCTGGGAATGCTTATACAAGCGCCCACACACTCTGGATGTGCAGTTGTTTAAGGGAAACATCTCGATCAAGGACTCGCGACTGTGTGGTTTCGATGGTGTCACGTGCATCGAGCTTATAGAGCACTTGCATGAGAGCGATTTGGAGGGAATGCCTGAAACCATATTTGGTTTCATTCAGCCAAAGGTAGTTGTGATCACCACACCAAACAGAGACTTCAATGTGGTCTTTCCTGATTTGCAAGGAATGAGGCACTGGGATCACAAGTTTGAATGGAGCAGAGCCGAATTTGAAGAGTGGTGCTCGCAAGTATTGAAACGCTATCCTGGCTACTGCGGTTCAATACAGTGGTGTTGGAAATGCGCCGTCTGCAAAGTATCAAGGTGTTGGCCATTGCTCCCAGATTGCAACGTTCAAGAGATTGTGCCAAGCCACTTACAGACCTGAAGACAACAGGCAGTCTTTGCTGCCCTATGAACTTGTGTTTGAGACAAGTCACCCTGGCAAAGATGAAGTGCCCTCTGTGAACAATTCTGAAGCATCTTCCAGCACTTAAGGGTCTTTGCATATGAGGCGTGAGAGGACAGTGTGTGACCGCATAATTTTATTGATAAGCTGTGGCATTTGTGACTTCATACAACAGAGTGACAGCTTCATGCTATTCATCGGTGCAATATGTGACACTTCTCTTTGTGTGGCTCATTGCTCTGCAGTGACTCGAGTGCAATGTAAGTGTCGGTCACAGAGATTTATGAGGAGCTTCAGAGACTCGGGCCTCGTCTTGTTGGTACTTTCAAATGTTTTGTGGGAAAGGACTGTTCTTGCTGAGCTTCTATGTTTTCCAGAGTGGTTCCTGCTTGAAAGTTTGCCGGGCTTCATGCCTTAGCTGTTAATTGCTATTATTAGTTTTCCATACATGCTACCAAAGTGAAATTCATGTCAGGCGTGTGTTCTTTGTTTTTAGCCATTCCACACTTCAAGGACAGCCACAGCTATTACCTTGGATTTATTTAAAATTGAAAACACTTCATTTTCTGTTTCTAAAAAATAAATGCTCTTGGTAGCACCATTATTTCTACTTATTTTGGGTCAATTAAATGTTTGTGTAGTTAATGTATTTTATTCTGCAGGGTTCTTCCTTCTTTTTTTTTTTTTCAGTGGCTGTTGAAGTAGCCGAGCATGCTAATCGCATTCTTGGCTACTTACGACCTAACTTTTCTAAAGCACCCTCTTCCTTAAAACTAATACTATCTAATTCTCTTATATGCTCTAAACTTGAGAATGAAGTAACCATGAGAGTGAAGTAACTAGAATAACTAGGATGGGGTGGATCACATATTCGGCAAGCATTCTCAAATTATGAATGGTAATCTACCACTAGCCTTCAAGAGGAAGGTATAAAACAGCTGCATCTTACTGGCACTAACCTACGGTGCAGAAACCTAGAGGCTTACAAGAAGGCTTCAGCTTACATTGGGGACGATGCAGCGAGCGATAGAAAGGAAAATAATAGGTCTAACCTTAAGAGACAAGAAGAGAGCACAGTGGGCCAGGGATGAAACCGGGGTTAAGGACAGCATAGTTGAAATCAAGAAGTAGAAATGGGCATAAGCTGGGCACCTGGCGCGTATGCAAGGTAACCGCTGGTCATTAAAGGTAACTGAAAATTCCCAGAAAAGGCCAACGCGCGAGGGGGAGGCAGAAAGTCAGGTGGGCCGATGAGATTAAAATGTTTGCATAGCTTGAAGCGGGAAGCAGAAGACCAGGTTGATTGGCGGATCATGGGAGAGGCCTTTGGCTTGCAGTGGGTGCAGTCAGGGCTGATGATAGTGCAGGACTGGAGCTTCACCCTGGAAAAGTGGCAGATGATTCTAGCAGTCCCGCTCTCACTGATCAGCTCACGGCGGGCCCGCGAGGTTGCCGGCAAGCTCGACTTGCCGGTCCCTACATGGGAGTGAGCCGGGTGCAAGACCCAGTCGCGTTCCGCAGGACCAAGTAAAGTTATTTTCCTTCCTTTCTCCTTCCGGGCGTTGTAGGGGACCAAATAAGGGACCTTGTGGGTTTTCGCGAAAGTGATCTCATGGAGACTCCAGGCGCATTTTTGCCGTCGCCGTGTGGTTCCGCATAAAAAAAAAGGGGGGGGGGGGGTGATAACATCAGGTGACTCGGGACGATTTGCAATTCATGATACGAAAGTAATGGACAACAAACCGCGGAAGAGAACAGCGCTTCGAGCAGGGGAGTACGTCTACTTAGGACATGTACTAACCGCGGAGCCTAACGACGAGATTGAAGTAACTAGAAGAAAAAGAATGGGTGGAGTACATTCGGCAAGCATTCTCGAATCATGACTGCATGGTAGATTACCATTATCCCGCAAAAGGGAGGTATATAATTGCTGCATCTTACTGGTACATACTATTGCGATCGGCGAGCCACCCTTTACCGCGGGTGCCGAGATGGAAGAAAGGCGAACCGCCTCACTTTGTGGCAATAAGAAGGAGCGCGAAGACGCCCGGCTGTTTTTTCATGTACTGGGAGGTGCGTGGTTGCAATTACTCGACGCAGCACATCTGTCGCTGGTGCTTGCGCGGAAAGGCGACACGTGGCGCCCAAGTGCCCCAGGAAGAAAGGCCGCGACGACGAGTTTCCGCCGAATACGGACCTCAGACCACCACGCTGTGCGTCTCTGGCTGATAGGCCGCCCACGCTCAAATGAATGCCAGTTGCCCAGGCACATGTCATTGGAGTTGCCTGGCCTGCGACCCCTGTTCGACTGCATAGGTGCTCGGCCCTGAGCAGCGACACGACGGATTCATCACGATAGTTATAGCGCGAAAACAAAACGACGACACAGAGACACGAAGGGCACGAGGACACGAGTGCTCGTGTCCTTCGTGCACTCTCTGTGTCGTCGTTTTGTGTTCGCGCTATAACTATCGTCATGCCATACCAACTAGCCCAAGCTGCCACACTTCTAGGATTCATCACATCCCGTTTGCTGGCGGCGTGATTCCCCAGATGCGACAGTGTTGCCGGAACAATACATGTTTTTCGGTTGTGTGGGTGTATGTATGTTGAGGGCAGTGCCGCCAAAATGACCATCAAAAGTGGCGAAATGATTGGATGAAAACGGTCGTCCCCTGTTTCCCTAAAGGCCCGGCGTCTGGGGACTGCGAAAGGAGTAAACGCAGCAGGCGAGTGCCTTTCTGTAAAAATGTAAATAAACCTCCCGTACTCTTCATCGGCTCTTTAGTCCGGTTATCTCCAACAGCAGCTCTTCGAGAAGACGGGGTTTGCGACAGCCTGCCTGGACGCGAGGAGACCGGGCATTCGGCAAGACCTCAACAGTACCTACGCAGCAGAAACCTGGAGGATTACAAAGAGGGTTCAACATAAGTTGAGGACGACGCAACATGCAATGGAAAGGGAAATGATATAGGTGTAACCCTGATTAATATGTGGGGTTTAACGTCCCAAAACCACCATATGATTATGAGATACGCCGTAGTGGAGGGCTCCGGAAATTTCGACCACCTGGGGTTCTTTAACGTGCACCCAAATCTGAGCACACGGGCCGACAACATTTCCATCGGTGTAACCCTAAGAGATAAGAGAGCAGAGTGCATTAGGGAACAAAAGGGTGTTAAGGACATCATAGTTGAAATCAAGAAGAAGATATGGTCATGGCATGAAGCGCGAAGACAAAATAATCGCTGGTCATTAGGTATCATAATGGTGTGATTATCATAGACTGGATTCCAAGAGAAGCAAGTGGGTGAAGGGGAGACAGTAAGGTAGGCCGGTGAGATTAGGGAAGCTTGCGGGTATAAAGTGGCATCAGCAAGCACAGGACCAAGTTGGCTGGCGGACAGTGGGAGAGGCCTTTCTTTGTCCTGCAGTGGGCTGATTATGATGATGATTATTATGATAACATCGCACAGGGTGTCTTTCATGCTCTGTGTGCTAATAAAAGCGTGCGAGTGCACCTGATGATCGCGGCTCAAGCGAAGATGAAACTTATCGGATGAAGACGCTCCAATAATAATCGCTTTGAAGAGGAAACGAGCCGGCCGCCTTCCGTCGCACGAAATGACCACTGCGTGGTGTCCTGCGTGGCTCTGGCCGAAACATCGTCCTTCTTTATTACTTTTATTTTTTTGAATGCAGCTTTTAATACCTGACCACACGTATACCCGTCGCAGCGCGCGGCGTGTAGTCTCGGCGCCGCTACCACTCCTGATGTGAGATCTCGTCAGGCCTTTCGGAACACATTCCGTTCATCGGCGTAACCGATACAACGACCGAGGACGAAAGAGAACAAACGCGAAGCACGTGAAGTCTGTTGAGATCACGAGCCATACGTCACACGCGCTGGCCTCTCGGTCGGAGCTCGTACAAATGCAGGGCTGTCATGTGCACAGTGGATGGCTTTGTTTGCCGTTACGGGGATCCTTGCGCTTGGTTCGCGACGTCTGCAATGTGCAGCACTCGAGCTCTGCCAGTTTATGTGGTTACATGCATTACACTGCTGCAACTGCGGATCGCCAAAACTTCAAACACGGCTATAGTTGGCGTTGCCCCAGCATGAAACTACACTCAGAATTGTGCCATAATCGTCGGTGACATTTTTGAAGATGTCCGATGTTACAGATGTTGCTTGCTAAATCGGTTTGCGCGGGCGCATCAGAAACATTTCCACTGGAGATGGGACGTCAGTGTACGTGCGTGCATATCATTATGTGTACGCACGTGGAACGTACCGACCGCAAAGAGGAAACAATCTTAACCTTGCTTTTTTTTCCTGCTTTGATTTGTTCGCAAACCTTCCTAATCAGGTTTGCGGAAGTATATGCAAGTGCAGGCAACTCCAAGTATCACCATCTTTTCATCGACATCAAATGTAATGTGGAACGCTTGGATCATGTCCCTGTGCGTTCTGATGTTTTTTTTTATTTACCTTTCGGATATACATATATAAGGGAAAGACGTGTATACCTAAGTGCTCGTTTTTTCTGTGGTTAAATACAATATTAATGAGACCTAACAGACAATAATGCCAAGGAAAGTATAGGGAAAGTTATTAGACTGAATTGTAATGTAAATATGAAGAAGAAAAGTGGGTGAGAAGATAACCTGCCTTGGGCAGGAACCGAACCTGCGACCTTCGAATGACGCGTTCGATTCTCTATACGAGGGACTATTGGTCAGCTGCCAGCTCGCAATAAGTTCACGTGCTACGTGACGCCATACAGGCTCATAAAGAGTGTGCCACACTCGCCGTCATGGCTACAGATGGCGCTGACTGACACTCCCGCGCTTAAGTTCACATATAAACCCACCCAATAAAGTAGCGGGGAGGATATATATATATATATATATATATATATAGGACCCTGTACACATGAATGCGCAAATAATAATAATATTAAGCCACCACCAACATCGAGAAATCTTCCTCATTGGAGGTCATCGTGGTGGCTCGCATTTGACAGATCTCGTGTTAAGTTGCACCAGAGTTACTGTACGAATGTTGTCAACCATAGTTTCGCCATTCGTCGGTCCATCGACGCACTCCTTCGATCCAGAGATGCTCCAGATTGATTGCCACAGTTTGCTGTTCTGTATACGTGGACATCATCTTTATAATTGTCATGCATAATTGTCGTAATTAATGTGTCTGACATGTGCGTGTGTAATGTACATTTTATATTATCGTGATTGTAAATGTCGCGTCATGTGATCTGTTGCCACGCCTGTCTTCGCATGATTATACACTCTAAAAGTTTTCCGAAGCAACTACGCAGTTACACCAAAAAGGGCCCTTTGCTCCTCGAAAATGCGAATGTGCGCAAAACATTGCCCACTGCACGGCAAGAGGGGCACTTTCCTCCTTGTGAAGTAAAGCGCTCGTTTTTTTTTCTTGTTTTTTTTTTTTCGAGTAACTACAGGAACGTTGGCGCCCTGTGCAAACGATCCGTCCGTACCTACACAAGTCTGTTTCTTTTCATTGGGCGTCGTAGCGCGGTGTGCTGTATAGTGGCTAGTGTACGCGCACGCTGACTGACCCCCGTATTCACAAACGCTCCTCGACTCAACTTTCACCCTTCACTTG